TATGAATCACTGCAGTCACGAAAGCTTTAAATCAGATCAATATTAGTACACAATTGACACTTTTTTCGGCCATATTACTATACACTATGGGATCAGAAAACATACATCGTTTACATACTAAGCATATCATTACGAAACATATTTAAAGCATGACTCCGCAGCCCCATTCCAAACAATCTGTGCACTTTGCATTGAGACGCATTCTGGCAAATTTGGGCAACAGATATTGATTATGACAGCTTCAAAATTTTGAATAATTTGTTCAATGTTTTCTCATCCAGGTATCCCATGTGAAAGTAAAACGTTTCCTCGTTGGTTACAAGCATTGTAAATTCAAATGTCACGGAGGTGAAAACATAAATAAAAAATAAAATATGATGATTGCTTGTGTTGCAATCGAAACGTCGTGATTTATTTATTTCTATTATTTATTTATATTTCGCCTACGTGACTTTACCGAAAGAACCAAAGAGTATGGATCATTGCAATCACGAAAACTTCAAATCTAGAATATTCAAATGTGCTTGTTTTCAAGGAACGGCATTTCACGTTGATATAAAATGACTTGGTTAACTGATTACACTATATTTTTCCATTCGCTAGGCAAACTCAGGTTAACCCACTTACATTCTGAATGCCTTGAACTTCTCTATTAACACACTGTAATAATATTAGTTCATTGAAGGCATTCACATTAAGGCTACCTCAAAATTAAGCTGGTGACTTTGTCGGGTCTCCAAAAAATGAAAACGCAAATTGGCGATATTAACATGCTTTCCACACGCGTTACGTTAATGTATAGTAAGTTTTTAACGATAACTCTATGGGATGAAAACATTTTTTTTACGAAAAATATTTCCAGTCGAAATCAGACGCCCCCCCTCGCTTTACGAAGGTACATCGTCACAAAACATAGTGTTAGAATATGAATAAACAACAGCGATAATGACGTGCAATACAATACTTAACATTTGAGTTATTCACATTCCGTGTTACAAATGACGTCACATCAAGGCAGTGAGGTCATGCGCATCAAAGCTCAATGTCTTTATGCTGGAACACCAGAACATTGTAACAACGGAGTTGCTTGAAGCTCAATATATATTTTTTCCGGATAACAAAAGACTTAGAAGTCGGATGGACTAAAAAAACTATTTCACGTGGGGAAATGGGCGGAAGTCTCGAGTATTAGTGGGGTTGTACCGTTTTTTACAACACGTTGTCTAACTTTAAGAAAGTTTCCACCCGCGTGGAATTTATGTGTTAGAACTGTTTTTTTTATTTAAAACATTTCCTCTGCATTATTTTTTTCTACGTGGACCATGTCTTTATTACTGTTTAAAATAAAAAATAGCATTTACGATGCAAGTTTATATGTATGACGATATTTGTTTTTATGACACTATTGGCATTGGCTCAGCAAACTGAGGTAACCAACGCATCCATCCTGACATTCGATTTGAGGTTTCTTGCTGATATAATTCGCATCCGCGTTACGTTAATGTATACTAGGCTACTATACTTCAACACCATGGGATCATTTTTTTATATATATAGAAAAATGTTCAAGCAAATTCAAACGCCCGAGTTAGAACGGTACATAATCACGAAACATAGTGTATGCATATGGATAAGCAACGGCAATAATGACGCGTTATGTAATACTTTACATTTGAGTATTCACATTTCGGTGTTAACGATGATGCGACATCAAGGCAGTGACGTCAGCGCATCAAGACTCAATGTCTGACTGCTGGAACACCAGAACATTATACAATGTGGTTGCGTCAAGCTTAAAACAATTATTAAATTTATAAGACATGTTTTTGGATAACAGAAGCCTGAGAAGCCTATACATTTTTTTTACATTTTTGTGGAGGAATGAGCGGGAGTGTCCAGCATTTCCTGGGGTTGTATCATTTTTACAGGTTATGAAATTTCATATGAAGTTTATGGAGATATTACTAACTTTATAAGTGCATTTTTACTGTGTCGTTGTAAGGAAGCGGCCAAACCTATACGGGTGTCGCTTCTCATATAATTAATTGACGGAGATATTACTAAGAGATGGATTAAACAGCGAAAAATTAAGTGGAATTTGCCCACCCTTCAAAATGTATTATAAGGATAACAGATCGACTTCTTTGGATTCGTGGAAGTCTTCGGGTATTTATTTCTAAAATGTTGGCAGCATAAAAACGTCTTTCTCAAAATCAACATTGTTTTAATTGGTATGCCCAAATGAAAGATAAACCATTTGCGCTCGACTACGTATATAGCCACTCGGCGACCATAACGCTGTCATACTGGTACTGTTCTGTGCGTGGTTACGACCGGGACTTTATATACAAATCGAGCACAGCATCGGTTGAAAACCCTTTCTTTAAAATTATGTAGAGGAAGCGACAAACCCAACGGTTTCGGCCGCTTCCCTCCAAAAATAACAATTCGGTATAACCCGAAAACACATCAAAGACTTACAGGTCTTCTCGGCTTTACTTATACTCAGCTTCTATGCAATGTACACTATGGGACCCTTACGGGGACACCCAATGCAATTGTATTGGCAACAGAAAATGCTTCTCGAAGTTTATTCTCAATTTAATTATTCATACGTCTACTGTCTTCGCTTCTTTATTTAACTTCACTAAAGTGAGTGCGTATCTGACTTTCCGCGTTGAGAAGCCGCTATGAATTGTGGGTATTAAGCCCTGTGCACTCCCCCTGTTGGCGGGCACGTGAATCTAAACCCCAATCCGTGGCATTGAGGTGAGAGAAATGACAGAACGAGAAGAAACTGTTCGTTTCGTATACCTTCTAATCTTCTTTGTGGTACGGCCTTCGAGCGCTCACGGGTATGTACGTAAAAGATATTATCAGCTTGGAAGTTCTGTAGCTGCTTAGATTTGTTTTAATGAGTAAAGATTCAAACGCCACCATCATCCCAAAGGATCCCAGGGGACGTAACTCGCATGGCCACGTTTTTACTGTAATACGTGCCTATCGCTTTCATTTCCACCGTCGTTTCTTGGCATTTAAACCTACATTCCTCTCCATGTTATCTTCCCTTCACTTTCGGCGAGTATTAACAAGCCACGAGATTATCATGCATAGATCCAACCTGAATTGTGGGAGACACGACGAAAAACTTCTGCCTATTGGCTTGGATAAATATCGTCCAAATTTCGATTTTACTTGAATGAATAAATGGCAGCAGCTGTATACTCACCCCATGCAACCTGAAACTACCGGGGAGCGAACTGGTTGCAATTTCATTTCAGAATGGTATTGCGCATTCGTTTCAATCTCCTTAAATAGTATAGCAAACATATCTGAATCTTTGATCCTCCTGCAGCGAGGGAAATCTAGGAACGAAATTAACTCAATGGCAAGTTCTGCGCATTGGGGGCTGAATGACAGCGCATTTTCCCCTTTTTGCAGGTTCACGGTACTATACTACGGGCAAATAACCGCAAACAACCCCACGCGTTGTCACAGCGCTCGTGACAGATCCCGTGGCGTCATTTGCAAAGTAGGGAAATGCGTGTTATGGTCCCAATGTCAAATTTGAAACAAACAAAAAAACTACCAGCGAATTTCTCAGCGGTAATTGTACATGGCAACCATGATCCCCTGGTGCAAAAACTTGACAGGACCCTCCTGAAAAGGCGTCAGACCAACGCTTCCCGAGGTATGCAAACATAAGAGATGCAGTCGCAGTTTGACACGCCAAATTAAAAGTTGCAGTTGGTAAAAAAAAAAACATGACAAGTAACAAATGAAAGAGCACTTTATTCAAACAGGACACAACATGTAGAGGATTACATATGCTGCAATACTAAACTGGACCAGGTAACTGCATTAGGAGCCATCCATTCGTACGTACGCAAAAATCTGTCAAAACTTGACCCCCCACCTCCCTGTACGCACGCGTACTTTTTACACCCCCCCCCCACCTGCGTACGTACGCTTGACGCATCCACCCCCCCCCCCCGAATCCTATAGAACGGCCGATATTTAATCCACGCAGAAACGATCAAGGATTAATAACGTGTTTAAGCAAACAGATAGTCCAGCGGGACTAATTTGAAGGCCAATGTAGACAAATTATCGAGACTGCACCACCCCCCGGTTTCCTATGCGTACGTACATTGTCGGTAGACACCCCATACGCAAGCGTACGCATTTGGGTTAACCCCCCCCCTCATCCTCCATGCGTACGTACTAAATGGCCCCTTACAAGCCATGCATTACAAACCAACCACTACCGCACAAGTGAACATTGTAACACATTTTAAACCATACTGAATAAACCACACCAGTCAACATAGCTTTCTATCAAAAAGAACACAACCAAACAGAGGGCACATAGGCTATCTTGAGAGCAGTGAAATATGGTAACCAGAATGCTGCGCATTCAAAGTTGTATTAATTGTGGTACATTAAAAAGGACATTCATGAATACAACTGAAAAAATGAAAGCTATACAAAGCAGCGTGAAGAAATGTACGCTGTGAATTACACACAGAGAGAGAAGAGCGTGGATGTCCACTTTTACTGGTAGGAACGAAGTTGTAAACTGAGTGTACCAGCCTGCAATAGATTAATGTGTCCGTCCGTCCGTCCCCTTTCAATACTTTAACGAAGTGAAATCTCGTGCTGTTGGGTGTAAAATCAGCAATAGACAGCACAGAGACTTGTCCTACCAGCCCACCCTGCAGGGACCTGTAACTTAAAGCAAGGGGGCTTGGGCAGGGGCCAGCTGTAAGGGATGATGGCCAGTGGTGAAGACTAATGATGGAGTGGCAGCCAAAGAGAAAACGCACCGGAAAAGGACGTCCAACGCAGCGATGGTGGAGCGATGAAATTGGCTCATGTACAAGGTGCCAGATGGACTGTTTCATCGCAGGAACCTGAGAGATAGCGATGGCTTGGGGTGGCTGACATTGAGTAGTGGATTGATCGCGGCTGATGATGATCGCAATGATTTACAAAATGTAGATGCGAATCACAAACAATTTTTATTCACACATACTGGGGTAGAAAAACTAACCTATAGTGAAAAGTAAACGTGTACAACATTGACAAGTTAAGTACACATTTTAGCCTACACACATTACCTTACAAAGCATGTTCCATCATGGAGCAAGGCAGGGTTAATAACACTACAGATTAGGATTTTAGTCAGTACTTGTATGTATGTTGAACTTCTTTCGCATCGTACGTAGCCGACTGATATTAGGAAGTCACTGGAGCTATGCACTTTTGAATCTAGATTGAAAACCCATTTATTTTGAAGTGATTGTGTGTTTAGTTTGTTGTTCCCCATCCCCCGCACCTCCGATTAGCATGGTTGGCTACATACGGTGCCAAAGAAGTTCAACATACTTCTTTGGCACCGTATAATCGTTCTTTTTGCTCGGAAGATTGCACCAGACTGATAACCAGTTCCTTAAGCATAATCAATTTCAAAACTATCATGAATAAAGTTGGGGACCTGGAATCAAACTTTTGTTTACATAATTGTTAAAAGAGTGTTTGGGATTGGTGTTGCAGTGGTTTAAGCACTGCACTACGATCTTGAAAACCTGGTTGCGATTCCTGAATGTTGATATTAATGGCAAGTGGTATTTAATAGGGGCATTAAAGATGTACCTCCTCCATAATTTATAGTTGACAAATTACCTATTTTTTCCATTTGTTATGGTAGACTACATCGTGGCAACAAGGTTTTAATGCTCTGATCACGTGTAATCTAAGTTTTTTGTAAATACGCTAAAACAGACATTGTGCGATTGGCAATGTGAATACACAATTTTTTTTTGGTCACGGGCAACTACACGCATATTTATATGCGATCATAAGAGTGTATGTGTTGTGTGTGTACGTGTGTCAATGTTGAGGCGGACGGGCGGGTTCACACGAAGGTGATGGCGGTGCGCGCTTGGTTCACGTGCCACACGTTCAGCTCCTCGTACTCGTCGAGCGCAGTGTGAACCTGCGCCGGCGTGAACCCCCGCGACACGCATCGCGACAGCGCCTCGGCGTAGCGCACGCGACGGTTCGTGCCGTCGGGCGGCGCCAGCTCTCGGATGAGGCTGAAGATGACGTCCGATGGGCGCTGGGTCCTGCGCGAGTATCATCACGACAGTCGCATCGTTGCAACGATGGAGGACAAAAGCATCGTCGATGAAACTTCAGAATTAACTGCCCAGGTGACAGTGAGGTGCGACAATAGTGCGACAATGATTGAGAGAATTCAACGTGAAGTCACTTGCTCACTGGCATTCAGTCGCCTCCTAATCACCCATCTGTCGATACTCACATAGTTACCGTTCCCAATGAACCTCAGTTATTGATTCTCCCACCCATGTTGAAGACTCTACCCGAACCATACAATGTTCAACCATCATACTGCATATCACAACCCATTCTCTGTTTAACATGTAGGCTTTCGCAAACAATATCATCCATAATACAGGTTTTTTTTGGGTTATAAATGTGTCATTATACCCGATTGTAGATGTTGTGGATTTACTCTCCAACACATCGGTGTGCTGTACGAGTAACGAATTGGCATGTTCTGTTTACGTGACAAACATTACTAATTGGCTGGGTTGATTGGTGGCGGGTTTAACAACACATTTATATTTACGCGATCGAACCCAAAAAACCCTCTATTGTGGCATTCTCTTTCGGCTTCTTTCCTCACACTTTTCGCCTTTCAACTTCCCTCACATCAGGGTGGGAGATACGGAGCTGTGTTGGGTACCTGGTCGGCTGCCCGCGGTCGGTGATGAGCGAGTCCTTGCTCATCTCCATGAGTCGCATGGCTTCGTTCACATCCTCCTTCTCCACCACGTCCACCAGACGCAGCCGAGCCTGCAGCACACGCAGACAGCGTACACACAGGCTGTTGGGACAAGCGCCGTGAGCCAGCGCCTACAGCACCGCATGAGGAGGCTGGGGGTGGACGGCACAATGCCCCTTGCGTCCACTTTGTGTTGGTTGGCTGTGTCGGGCGGTGGCGAGTTTTAACGACACATTTATACATTTATGCGATCTCGCCCAAAAAGCTCAATTCTGAATCAAACTCGGGTTACCTCGTTCGTAGTGCAGCCCACTAACCAGTGCTCACTGCTCTACCCAACTGCGCATACACACACACACAAACACACACCTCAAGAATACACATTTGTCAGTGCGTGCGTGTTTTTACGCAAGCCTGCACATGCAGGATTAGAGAATGATCACGCGCCGGCCGGTGTACACACGTACCAGCGCGGTGGACAGTCGCAGGATGGCGAGCAGCGTGCGCGCGGACGTGAACGTCGTGTCCTTGCTCACGCGCGCCTCTTTGCGCATCTCCACGTACGCCGCTGTGATGTAGTCCGCCAGCGTGTCGGGCACGGCCGGCTGCCGCCGCTGGCACAAGGCGATGTAGCGCCTGCCGAGATCACACGAGACAAAAATTCCTCGCCGTCGTAAAACCCACCCGCCCAAATGCAATGTGAAGGCGAGAGCAATACGTAGTATTGATATATGCAAAGGAGTTATCTTTACACGAACAACGGGTGGGTGGGTGATTAGGCGAGTAGGTGGGTCAGTGTGCGAGTGTATCCGTTATTGGGCGAATATTGTCAGTGGGTGCACACGGGTAGGTTATTGGGTGAGTGGATGAATCAATGGGCGAGAGGGTGGGTTGGTCATCGGGTAGATGGGTGGGGTAAGCGAGTGGGGCGATCTATGGGTGGATAAGCATTGTGACTCAGTGGTTGAGTAAGCGAGCAAGTGAATATGTGCGTGAGCCAATGAATGGCTAGATGAGTTATTGTTTTGGGGAGTGGGCGAGTCAGTGTATGGGTGGTTGGATAAGTACATGTGCTACTAATTAAGTGAGTGGATGAGCAAGTGAACGAATGCACAGGTGATCGAACGAGCGAGCAAATAGAAGAGGAGAAAGCGGATTCTTACCGCATGAGCTTCATGTCGAGTGGCGTGTGCTGGGAGGGCGGCTGGTGGCAGTGCTGGTGCACGTAGGTGATGTGCTGCGCCAACCTGTATAACATACATCCACATACACGGTTACACGCTCATGCACACAACAGCCGCCATTCGCCACGAAGTGAATGAAATCACCAAAATGCTCGTGCCAGGCTAGGTGCGAAGTGCTAATGTGTATACATGCACACGCTCTCATTCACACGCAATACATCAACTAGTAATCAAGGTGGTGGCTGGGTGGCTCAGAGTTCCAAGGGCTGAGCTGGCAATGCTAAGATACTGGATTTATTTCAGGGAATGTGATTCAATGAGTTTAAAAAAAACACATTTGATCTTTAATCCCAATTTTTACCAAATTGTGTTAACAAAACCAAGTTTTAGAGAAAGAATCAATTTATAACTCTCATGAAGCAGTGCAACTCTGTGTTAAACAAAATGATCCAGGGAAGAAAATACCACAGAGCTACTTCGACAATTCCTTCAAGTGACCTCTGGACGACACATTAGAGGCCACCATCTCTGTCCCCGACGATAATGATTGTGATGACCGTCACTGATATTCTTAACTCTCATATCTGGAATTTAGTCAAAATAAAATGTGGAACCAAAGTTAATTTGAAGATTTTTTTTTGCAGTCATTGGTGACGGGGGCTAAGACTATCACTTCACTATGCTTGATGTTTAACCGATGAGCTGCCTGGATTCGTACCGAGGATATCAGCGGTGTCAGCTTAGCGCTCTAACCTCTGAGCCACCTCGTCAACTCTTAACCAAACTGCTCACTCACCTACACTGAAACCCACAACTCACCGGATGTCGTTGTCACGATCGGGCTTGTCCTGGATGAGCCACAGGAGGTCAAAGCGAGAGAGCAGCGCCGCGGGCAGCTGCACATTCTGCTCCACCGACTTCTTGGGGTTGTAGCGGCCGTACGCGGGGTTAGCGGCCGCCAGGATAGAGCAGCGCGCGTTAAGGCTCGTCATGATGCCAGCCTGGGTGACGGGACCCGCGGTGGAGAGAAAAGAGGGAAATAATAATTAAGAGGGCGGGAGGAGGTGATGAGCAGATATTTCCAAAACGAGTCAGGAAAAACCGTGCACACGCGTGGATTGTTACGCTCTCCAACGTGTTTGTCTTGCACGTCTGTAAATACTGTTTTGTACCTTTATCCCCAGCCAGCGACTGCAACAGGATCCCCCTCCCCCCCTGCCATATCCCACCAGCTGAAGAACCCTGGTCTAAGCTGAACATCGAGATGGACATTTGATTTGACATTAATGCCAGCCAAAGGCAATCGTCGATTTGACTCGCACGCCCCGCCGCTACCGTTCGGCCTCCACCATCTGAGCAGAGCGCCGTGCGTAACGAAACTAAACTAATTTTATTTTACCAGGTAAGGCCCACTGAGCTATAGCGCTCTTTTTCATCGCAACCTGGCCAGAAATAATAGCTCACGAAGTTGCCTATCACGTGTTCAATGTATAGCAGCCATTTACTCTAAACGCACATCGATTCTAAATGTGGAGGGAGAAAACGGAGGACTCAAAGAAAAATCTACGCGACCACGGGGAAAGAGACACGTAAACTCCAAATGTACAGCAGGCATCAGGGTCAGGATCGAACCCACGATCTCCTGCATACCAGGCGAGGCAGTTAACGCCTCGCCACCGCGGTGCCGGGTCGAAGCCCCCACCCCCCAAGTCACCTTGGCGATGGAGATGGTCTGCTGCTCCATGACCTCGTGGATGGAGGTGCGGTCGCTGTCGGCCATCTTGTCGAACTCGTCGATGCAGCAGACCCCGTGGTCGGCGAGGACCAGAGCGCCGCCCTCCAGCGTCATCTCCCCCGTGAGTGGGTCCTGCAGCACGGCCGCCGTCAGCCCCACGCCCGACGAGCCACGCCCCGTCGTGTACTGGCCTGCAAGGGTTGCACACGCGCGCACAAGAGGCAGGCACGCACGCGCAAAGACGCACTCTACCGGGTGCACGCAAGGGTTTGTGGCGGTTGCTCGTCATTTTGTAGTTGTGTACATTTTTCAAATTAAAGCTTTCGTGACTGCAGGGATTCATATTCTTGGTTCTTTCGGTAAAGTCACGTAGAAGGGAAATAATAACCAAGAATGTGTACATTTTGTCATTGTGCCATTCGTTCCTGAGCACAAGGCTATTGTTAAGGCGCTATGTTTTGCAGGCGAGTGTCGTCTGCGGTAGTATTGCCGCAGGGGGCAACGTTGCTATGTGGCTACGCTACACGAGGTAAGTTACGAGTATATTTCCAATTTTTCCTTTAAATTGTTGCAGTGGTATAGGAGTTTTGCGTACAAATACAAAGATCCTCCCCCATATGTATGATGAACTTCTTTCGCACCATTAGTAGCCAACCATGCTAATCGGTGGTGCAGACTGTTGAGGCAAGTGCTGGTATCGAGCACCTGTTAAGCCCGGGACGGCTCACGTAGGGATGCGTGGTTAGCACCACGCTCGGCTGCATATGTATCCACAGCGGTGATATTTACACTCGACAATAGCTACTCATTTTCTTGGTTCTTTCGGTAAAGTCACGTAGAAGGGAAACAATAAAATAATAAAAATATAAAACAATAAAATCCTCACGACGCTTCGACCACAGCAAGAACATTTTCTTGCTGTGGTTTTCACACCTGATGATGAATGCTTGTGTTGCAGTGGAAACGTCGTGAGAATTTTATATTTTTATTATTTTATTGTTTCCCTTCTACGTGACTTTACCAAAAGAACCAAGAATATGAATCCCTGCAGTCACGATAGCTTTAAATCACATTTAATAGGTACTCATTTAAGGCTGCGTCGATGTAGGAAAAGCCTAGGACCAGTTCAAATATTCACCACTATTATTGGTCGTGAGCGGGAATCGAAAATCTCAATGCATTAACCACTACACTACATACATACACAATTACACACGTACATACATACAAACATTCACATTATCCATGTATGCCAGAGGAAGGCGTTTGTGCGACTGTGTGCACATACTTCTGGGGGCGAGCCGATCGATGTAACAGAGCAGCTGCGACTTGGCCACACCGGGATCTCCCATCAGGCAGATGTTGATATTCCCTTGAGGAAACACATGGCGAGACACAGACTCCAGTTAACCACAATGCACCGCAGCGGCACGAGCCATCGGTGAGTACCAATTGAAAGCTGGCAAGTGATGCTCACGCACGGACACTCTTGCATCATCAGCAATACCACCCAGGGCTTTCAAACGAAGAGGTAAAGTCGGGTTTCCGCGATTAAAAAATGTTCACAATACGACGATTGTGAGTTTTCAGTTTCCCATAAATTTGCAACAGCCGTTCAGCATTTTTATTGTATTTTTGTGTGCTTTGTTGTGGTTACAGCACAAATAACGATTACTTGAAAGTTATTCCACCGAAGTTCACACAACATAAGCCTGCTGCAAGACTTCTAGTTATGGCAACTTTGCAATCTGTATCCCTAACAAAGCAAATGTTGTCCGTCACCTAGGAATGAATTAAATGAACCATAACAGCGAAAAATTCGTATAAACCCCATGTCACCTATTAATATTCTCCCATGTTTTGCACGGCATTTATTTCATGTGTAATAGCTATTTCTTATTTTGTTTACTTCAGAAATATTTCGTGAAGTAATTACAATAGGCAACGATAATCATGACGAAACAATATTTAAGCAAACAAACTAAACGATTATTGCGAATCTCGTACCGAACCATGTATCGTAATATCGTCACATCGCGGCAACCCTGCTCGTGATACAATCACAGCTGTGATTTACCTGCTTTGGCAGGAGACCGGGGAGGCACCACCAGGAGAGAGGTATGTATGTTGAACCGTATGTAGGTTGAACTCATTTAGCACTGTACGTAGTCAACCGTGCTAATCAGAGAAGGGAGGAGATGACTGGGGGAGGGGGGGGGGGTCACACCTCGGATTTTCATGCCGCGCGGGGAGCGGTCGACGCCACCCACGAGGAGCAGCAGTAGCGCTTTCTTCACGTCCTCGTGCCCGTAGATCTCGGGCGCGATAGATGCCGCCAACTTCTCGTAGAAATCTTCCTCTGTGGCATCGCGAACGCCACAGGTTAGTGCCGGAGAGCGCTCACCACGCGTACACGAGACAAAGATCCCCTTTTGTAAGCAGTGACAACATTTTTAGGGAGAGTGCTGTTAAGCGAGCAGCACCTCTGAAGGCCGGCACGGCACACAAGGAGATGGGTAGCCAGCGCCATGCCCGACTGACTTTGCTTACACTGCACCAGGTACTCATTTGAGGCTGAGTCGACCTAGGGGAGGGCCATGACCGGTTCAGATAATCGTCACTGGCGTTGGCCATGAGCGGGAATCGAACTTGGGTGCTTGTGTTCGTAGCGCATCGCGCTAAACCGTTACGCTACCGTTCCCAAAAAGACAGACCCACTCCGGAGTCAACAACGCACGCGAGCGCCTGCATAACATGTCATATTTCACTTTTTCCCCTCTCGGCTTGCTCTACTTCCGCTTCCCGCACGTCTTCGTCGCGACTTGACACCGACGGCGCGATCGGCGAAGACGGTGGTGAAAACGACAAAAAAACGAAAGGAGAGAAGTCCCTGGCTCACCCGTGATCTGCCTCAGCTCGCTCTCCGACAGCTCCTCCACGTCGAGCTCGTTGTCCTCGGTCTTGTTCATCTTGACGACGCGGTGCGCCTCCAGGAACGTCTCTGACAGCAGCCCCTGGAGGAAAGCGCGGGAGACGGCCAGGGGTCACTAGGGTCAGTATGAGTCCCTAGGTCAGGCCGAACGGCTTCGTGCGATTTTGTGAAGTATAATCAGGCAGCTACCGCAATTGAGGGTGACGATGACTGGGCGACACACGGATAAAAACCTGTCGGAAGCAAGTGAGGAATAATCACGCATGGATTACGTTACACTTTGAACACGTGTTTGTCTTGGAAAATATTTACTTGGCCGCGCAATGAAATGATGTCACACAGAGCATAACGTGCAACATCGCGAGATGTTATCGCACGTGACGACATAGATCTCAGGAGTGCTAGCTCATTGTCTCCGATACGGACATTACGAACCACGTGAGCCATTCCGCCTCTGACCAAATAGCCCGCAATGCGACGACCTCCGATCAAATTTTCTGCCGTACGACATAAGAGGACCTTTAAATCAGAAATTCTGTCACCTGCTGCATGGCACGGAAGCCCTGCTTGAGTACGGGGAGGAAGATGCCGGTAATGGAGATGTGGTCACCGGGCTGAGCAAGACGCGTGTTCTCTCCGCGCACGCACACCGTCATGGCACGCGGGATGCAGCCCACGGGAACCTGGTCGCTCTGCACGGTGGGGTGCATAGGGGGAGACGTGAAGACACGGGTGGGGGAAATGTGAAGACACGGGGGGAGAGAGTGTAGCGTAGTTACGTAGTGATTTATCAACTTGTATCGAAATAAGTACCACCCCAAGAGATGTCAACAGCTGCTGCGCTGTGCGAGTTGTCCTCGCCAAAACAATTACCATCACTGGCCAAAAGAGATGAGAGGTAATACTTTGATATTTACATCCAAACAGACTCAACATGATCTCAGTGTCTTAACTGGCTCAGGGGGTGGGTGCTAATGCAGGGGTATTAAACTTCATTGCCATCTACCAAGGAAGCAATCTCTCCAGACAAACAATGGTGTGAACTGGAAATACTGGGCCAACTCAACATGGGTACACATGTCCAAATTATTCCGAGAACACTCTGTGCATCCTAACATAACCAGAACTGCATGTACTGTCGAAGCGCACAGCTTGTATGCTGGTGCTGGACTGTTATAGGATCGTGCTACAGTGACCACCTACGGTGCCGCTTCTTCCAGGACGAATTTACCGTGGCCGACGATGACATGCGGGGGGGGGGGGGGGGGGGGGGGGGGGGCGCTGTATATATGCCGCCGCGGTAAATTCGCGAAAAACACTTCCTGCCTAACGTAAACCCAAACTGCAGATGCTGCTGTGTGGCCGTCACGTACGTGCTCCTGTATCTTGAGCTCCTGGAACTTGACGAACTTGGAGCCGCGGCTCTGCAGGTAGAGTCGTCCGCCGGACTTGTTGGTCTGGCAGTCGCGGCTTGGGCACAGCGCCAGCGGCATGAAGGAGGTGGACGCGATCTGCCAGCGCGGCGGAAAGCGCCGGCAGGCCACGCGGTTGAAGTTTGCGCAACGCTCAAAACGTGCACGCAGTGCAACGTCGTGTATCCGCTAGTTTTCTTCGTTTTAAGTTTATTTCACGAGTTATTTACTGTATGTAATGTGTGTGTATGTGTAGACGAGCCTACTCCAACTTTGTCTTTGTGTGCGTGCCTGTGTGTGAAAGTCTAGGCCAAGGCCTAATGAATCCACGGTAAAAGAACATTTGCAAGCGACTGCTTTGTGTTAAGAAATAATATTAAATGTTTTGCGGCATTCATAAACAATTGAATACAGTATATGTTCCATTAGTTAATAATGGTTAGTGTTAGGGTACATATTCGATAAAATGAAAGAATAATATGAAGTGCAACGATACGATGCAGGTAGCGATAGAAAACGGACGACAGCGCAATACAGTACTGAGAGAAAACAGAAGTGGGGAAGCACAGCTATTTCCAGATATGGGATTCTATCTTGATTTTGTGGGGAAAATCCGGGTTACGGATCGTTTCTCGGGCACCTAACCCTTCCGTCACCCTGTACTTTTATTGTGGCAGATTATTCTGGTCCCTTTAAAAATGGGGGCCTACTCCATATTCTGCTTCCCGAAGGTGGGAAACTCCCTACCAGCAATGCCCTGCGTGATACAGCTGACAATGCCAAATGACGTCACGTCAAAAAGCCCCGTCAACCACCTCCAGTCCAGCGGCACAAGTGGGAATAGAGGCGAGGTCTTTTTTTCCCAAATGTTTATATATATCCGATTTAAGGTCGAAGAATCAATTGCTTGAAGCGCCCCCCTGCTCTATTTCTAATGCTGCTCAAATCGACAAAAAATTACAACAGACAAAGGTGTGAGCACAGAGTCGGGAAGTTACCGGTTGGTAGGTCTCGGCGCCACACTGGTCGCAGGTGTAGGTGGCCACCACCATCATGGGCTTGACCTCGGTGGCGCGTGTCACCACGCCGCGCACCGTCACGAGCCTTCCGATGCTGTTGGCCTTCACATCGCGCACGCTCAGCGGCTTCAACGTGCCAGGCGCCTTGAAGTACAGCTCACTGCCAGAGCGCACGGACACACAATTCACGTTGACATGGACAACACGGTTTACACATGCATATGCAGGGCACAGTCACACGTGCACATACAGCATGCTCACAGGGCACGGTTCACGCAGGGCACGCTTATACACAGAAGGTAAGATCACATACAGGGCACGGTCATAGACACAAGGCAAGTTCACACACACACACGGCACATTCACAACCACACAGCATGATCACGCACGTACGGCATGTTCACACACGTACACGCGCAACGTTCAGACACACACACAGTTTACACACAAACAGCATATTAATGGGGAGTGCAGTGGTTGGTGCCCTATATCTACTTTTGAAATGTATTTAATTATATCAAAACAATGATAATGATATGGCATGTATCCTCAAAAATAGTGTGGATAGAGACACTGAATTTAGTCCAGCATTTCAAGGACATTGCAATTCCTCCAAACAATAAAGAAAACGATGGTGATAGTAATCACAATGATAAAAACATGTTCGCCTTTGAGCGAGCATGAAAACAAATGTGCATATGCATGTGTGTGCGTACAAGCGCCGCATGAGCTCCGGTGGGTACTGGTTCTTGGGGTCGTGTGCATCCGCGTCCCCATGCCGGTTCTGCAGCATGAGCCGGTGCTCGATGTAAACGTCCAGCGCGTCCTTCTGCACTGGCTGCAGGGATAATAGCAAGCCAGAGCGATGCACAGACTCGGTGAGGGCTCCCACTGGCTGCAAGTGCAGTTGGCAAACACCTATTAAATAACAAATGGCGGGAAGCCCATTGAGATTCTTCATTTGTCAATCACTCTGGAGGATGAAGACCTCCCAGAAAATGTGGAGGTTGTTTCACTCAACTTCAACAGGTTGGTGAAGGGACCGGTTAAGATATATCTCGCCGCCGATGTGAGCTAGCCGTAACCAAGAATAAAAACTAAGGTCGCCGGGCTCAGAGCACAATGCACTAACCACCGCATCACAGCTGTTAAAAAAACTGGTGGGAAAAGCCCATCGAAATTCAACGGGTAAAGAAAATCATTCGAGGGCTCACCAATGTCTCATCGCTCCCAGCCCACCCGCATCACATCGTAAAGAGTGATATGGCGGCAGTAACCCCACACGCGCGCACGTTAACGACAGCCCCCCATGCACTCACCTCTCCCTGGCGGTACTCGGGCAGCAGCTCGCTCACAGCGTCCGCGAAGAGCGCGGCGTAGCGGCGCGCGTTTTCCACGACGCGCTCAGCCAGCTCAGGCTCCAACTCCGCAAGGTCATCCAGGTCGATGCAGAGAGACACCTGCTCGCGCTGAGCCAGATGCACCTGCGCACAAGGAAAAAAGTTTATTCATTGGCGGTATGTCGGGGCAGGTGCGGCACAAGATGTGGTGGTGTAACCGACACCACACATGGGCCAGCTGCCCTTACGATCTTTGTCACAACACTGCAAGAGGCACCCTTTTAAAAAAGGTTGAGTCGAGCTCGGGATAGTCTGAGAAAAGGTTCCGATACGACTCTCGACTGACGTTAGCCATGGGCAGGAATTGAATTTGGTTCACCGGTACTGTAGCGCAGTGCACTAACCACTACGCCACCACTCTACTCTACCCCGAGATAAAAATTGGCAAAACAAAAAGTGATGCCCGGTAAGTTTTGCCAAAAAGGTTCAGAAACCCAATTTCATTTCTTGGCCATGAAAAACACGCACACACACACCATGTGACAATTATATCGGTAAGCTCCCCTCAGTTAAGCTCAGCCAAAACTGGCTACACTTGGTGCAGAATGTAAAGTCTGGAAACACAAGTGAGACAAAGATGCCCCGTGTAGCCTAAACAGACTGCTGGGGCAAGTGCGGTTAGCGAGCACCTATAAAGGCCGACATGGTATACGAGTTGGTTGCCCAGTACCACTCCAGCGGAGATGTTTACACATCGCACACACTTCACTTCTAAGGACATGTGACGAAGCGTTCTTAAGATCCCTCTCTTACCAGCTGCTCACCATACTTGAATTGCTTCTTGCCCAGACCATCATCCTTGTAAAACTCTTGCAGGAACTTTTTGCAGTTATCTGTGCGCACACAAACACAACACACACACAGGGGTAATGTGTATCAGTCTCAATGCCACTGAACCCGGCACAACATATAGCCCAAGGTAGAACCTCCTACACAGGTGGGAAGATTAGTTCATTAACCAGCTAAATATTGTTATTATTTACTTTAATAATGGGGTGTGGTTGAAAATATCGAGTTCGCGGAGACAGCCGAAGATGAACTTTAACAGTAAAAACGCCACCTGTGGAAAAACTACAACTTTTATTTTGCATTTAACAACGCAAGTTGCCTGGAGAGGAAACTCAAACATTTTAATTTGTTTGTTTCTTTAAACACTAACTGACGTTACTAGGAAACGTAGTTTTATGAGCCGAGAACCAAATTTCCCCTAAACTCCAACAACACAATGGTGTTAAAACCATCAAGCGCACGCATCACAGGACATGAACAGGCCGATAGGCCGCATCTACTTCGCAAAAGGAAAATGAAACACAAGTCTCAGTAGTGCATGATTGTGGCCATGCACCTAAAACTATGGACCGACCATACACAATAATACCACTTTAGTGTGCGCTCCTTCGACGAAGGTGGAGGGAACGGCAAATACTACAAGAACTCTTCCATCCTGAAGGCCTCTCGTGACCAGCAGGCCTCGAAGTTGACATTTGGCTCCCGAACTTGTTACCATACGCAAGAATGGACCCGAAACATAACTTTAAAAAAATACATACACACTGGAGGAATCCGATGAGCTATGAAGCTTTTTTTTCACAGACGTCCAAGTATGAGCGGGTAAACTCGGAAGCTTTTATCGTGGACCGAGCGTCTCGAAAGAGATTCGAATGAGCGACCACCACGCACGAATGACAGGTTGTTGTTACAGGCTGCGGGGCCAGGACAGCAAAACCCGTCGCTGTACGCTACTGCTATGCTCCCATGCGCTGTACTCTGCCTGGCTTCACCGATACAATTGTACGATAACGGTTGAAGTATGGACAAATAACCTCCGCGATCGGCACAGAGTGGAGAATGACCTCATTCAGCAGTCTATTGACAAAGGACACGCAACACGTAACACGCGAGCGGCTAGAGTTGTCCTGTGGATAGACTCGTACAACGCTGAATTTGCATCCCACCCCCCATCTTAGGGGTGGATATGAAAGCGATGAGGCGACAACTCGACTTGCATAGTTCATGAAGGAACGGAACCGCTGAGGAAGACGCAGCGATTTACATCGTCACCTGGCGTTCCGGCGGGGGGACTATTTTACTGTATCGATAGATATGCCGGAGATGGTGGCGGATATGGGGAGGCCTTCATCCAGCAGTGGATCGATCACGGTTCATGACGATTAAAGTAAGACTCGAGACGTCCAGCGCAAAAGCAAGCAGTTTACCTTTCTCAGCAGCGTAGTCTTTAGGCGCCATCTCTTTGCAATGAACAGCGCTTGGCTTGTTTAGTTTAGCGAGCGAATGGATGCTCCGCGCCACAAAAAGTAAACCGATCTCTGAACTCGCCGACCAGGCCGCCGCTTTCCCGCGCTTTTTTTGGCGCGAAAATGTCGTCACGTGACGTTGGTGGCGATACCAAGTGTAGGGGGGGTGAATTCAGCGGGAAATTTAAGATTTGTACTTAACAAAATGTTGTGTACATGTAAAGTGTTAGACATATATTTTTATATATGTAATGGTAGTTTATGCTTCACCTATATGAAGCGTCGCAATTATGTTTATCCTCGTGTTTATTTTTTGCGGAAAATATTTCGACACTTGGAACTTTTTATTTTATCCCCCCCCACCCCCCTTGTGTAATACGGCGAGCGAGACAGGGCCAGTGAAACCGTAGCGCGTTTGGTATTAAAGGCACCAAATATTTTTCCTGTCAGAATCAGTATTTATCCTGGAGAAACCCGATGAGCTTTGAAGCTCTTTTTCTTTTACAGATGTCCACTAGGGGTGGGGGTCAGAAAGGTAAACTTGTATAAGTGCACCAATTCCAAAGCTTGGGCAAGGCAGGCAAAACAACAGCACAAAAAAAACCAGTCCCAGAGCACACCAAGACAACATATGGTCCCTGTATGTTGAATGAGATGGATAGGCAGCGAGATAAGGTGTAGTAGTAACACTAACCAGCTCCTTTATATCGACTTGTTCATGTACAATGACACGTTTACTGGTTGACAAGGACCTGACCCCATACCGGAGATGAGCAGTAACCTCGGAAAATATTCCCAGGTTATGTTTCGGGTTAGATCGCGTAAATATATAAATGTGTCGTTAAGCCCTCCACTACCCGACAAGTTTGTCACGTGAAACAGAACGCGCCAATTCGTGACCACCGGTGTGTTGGGAGAGTAAATCCACAACATTTACGACAGCCTGATTATGCTAGTTGTAATTACTGGCGAAACGTCGGTACTCATATTGGACTCTCCAACACTCAACATGTGGTGCTGTACTAGTAGCGAATTTGCACGTTCTGTTTACGTGACAAACCTTACCAATTGGCTGTGTCGGGTTTAAGGACACATTTATATATTTACGCGATCTAACCCAAAACAAAAACTACACCTGTATTATGGATTACATTGGTCGGCAAAGTCATACAACGTATTCTTTGGTTCTTTAGGTAAAGTCACTCCGGTATAAAATATAAAATATACCCACGTGACTTTAACGAAAGAACTAAAGAGAATGAATTAATGCAGTCACGAAAGCTTCAAATCAAGATTGGCCCTCCTACAACGTGTTAAATATTCCCAGGTGACATTCTAGGGCGCATCAACGTCCTGAACTGAGGGTAGTGGATGGGATTCAAGGGAGCCGCAATGCAATGCCCCCCGGGACTGCCGAGAACCAACAGCATTAAAGTCGTCGTAGTAGTAATCTGGTTGCTTAAGGCGTAAAAAGTTAGCTGGCATTAAAATTATGTTTCGTGGATAGTCAAAGATTGAAAGGGCTGTGGGCTAGTGAACTTAAAAAGTACATATTTTGGAGATATGTAGGGAGGTGATCGCAAGTAGCAATTATTACGAAATCGAATTGATTGTATGCAGTGGATGACAGGATTGAGACGATAACACATTACTAAGCTTGGGTACATTCGAAAATAACAACATTACGACACGTTGATTTCTGAAGTGTGTGTATATAATGTAGCATAGTCCTGCAAAAAGTAAGGTGATGAACTATTATGTTGGCCAGTCTTGATAGCGAAAAGTCATGTTACCATTAATTGTATCATGCTTCTTGACTTAGGGTGATGGACAATAACCGATAAAAAAAAACCTGTGAACATTAAAGTCACACAAGATTGACCATTGCACAGTTCCTCCCGTCATTTAACTATTATATTCCTAGCCTCTTACCTTACTTATTAAAACACCCACCCATCGCCTCTTTTCACACAGTTTTGTACAAGTTTTAAAGAAACCTATCATCTCCGTGACTTTACCAAAAGACCCAAAGAGTATGAAAACCCAACAAGTATGGAAACCTATAATACCTCCGATTGACAACCTTAAACAGTGCTCTTTACATACTATTTGGTTCTATTCGGTAAAGTCACGTAAGTAAAACAACAAAAATCACGACGTTTCGGCCACAACACAAGTGCCCTTCATCAGGTGAAGGGACCGTACTGTCCAGAGGACGGATTGTCGTGCAGTATAAACCCCATGAATCGTAAAGCCACGTCACACATTTGCCCGATACCAGCGTGCATACACCACCATCATAAAGCGTCAAATCTTTAAAATAAGTTTCACGCCCACGAAAGCGTCCAACAAAATTTTTTGAATTATCGCGGTCAAACCTTCCTTTTTTGATTTTAACCCCAAACCTAAAGCTTTTTGTCGCTTCAGTTCGGGGACTCCAAAAATATTAATAAATGAAACTGAAAACTGAACGAGCCAAATAAAGGCTCTTGATACAATGCTCAGATATTGAAACTTATATGTATTGAACAACTGACATTTAACGCTATGGGAACCACGTATTACGAGGTACTTTATTTTACATAAAAGATAAAAAACATTTTACAGATACAGGTGTAAAGGGAAATTTCCTTCCTATTTAACCGCTTCGCTGTTTTTTATCCAATTTAATTTGAACAAAAAAATTTAATCACTGTGCGCTTTACTTCCGGGAAGTGATGTCACAAGTGACAGGGCGAGTGGGGTTGCGCAATATGTAACATGGGGCAGCAGTAGCAACTGTAGACATCATGGGGCCTTTTGTGTTAGTATCAACAAAGTATGAAAAAAATCAATCTAACCCCCCAAAAAACCCTGTATTATGGATGAAAAATAAGAATAGGGTTTACGCTCTCTGGCAATAAAGCAGTTGTTAAGATGTTCGAACACCAAATGAAAAACCTTTTGCAAGGCATCAAGTCTGCGTTAACCACACGTACTTTTGGTGAACTTGCAAACAAACGCTGATAATATACGCATTGTCTTTGAAGCTGATTTGGCCTACACCAGAGACAGACTTCTTTATGGCCTAGCCTCACCAGTGCCATACTTGTTTTATTGCCAGAAAGGGTCAAATCTATTTAAACATTTTCAGCTGAAGAAAGTTATCACCGAAGGCCTACGAGAACCTTAATCCGGATTTACCGTGCTGTTACCCTATGGGTGGCAGTGTGATCACTCGTCAAGTTGATGGGAAGTGAGCATGGAGTGGTGGTGGGAGCCGGGATTTGTTCAGCTGATTGCCGGGCAGAGCTGGGGGAGACATGGCACGTCAGATTGGACGGACGGAGCTGACAGAACGGGGGAGCACGTCCTGAACAGAGGGTAGTAGATGCGCTTCAAGGAAGCCGCAATGCAATGCCCCCCGGACTGCCGAGAACCAAACAGCATTAAAGTCGTCGTAGTAGTCTGGTTGCTTAAGGCGTAAAAAGTTAGCTGGAATAAAAATGATGTTTCGGGGATAGTCAAAGATTGAAAGGGCTGTGGGCTAGTGACCTTAAAAAGTACATATTTTCGAGATATGTAGTGAGACGATCACAAGTCGCAATTATACTGGTAGGAACGAAGTTGTAAACTGAGTGTACCAGCCTGGAATACATTAATGTGTCCGTCCGTCCCCTTTCAATACTTTAACGAAGTGAAATCTCGTGCTGTTGGGTGTAAAATCAGCAATAGACAGCGCAGAGACTTGTCCTACCAGCCCACCCTGCAGGGACCTGTTTACGAAATCGAATTGATTGTCTGCAGTGGATGACAGGATTGAGACGATAACACATTACTAAGCTTGGGTACATTGCAAAATAACATTACGACACGTTGATTTTTGAAGTGTGTGCATATGATGTAGCATAGTCCTGCTAAAAGTAAGGTGATGAACTTTTATGTTGGCCAGTGTTGATAGCGAAAGTCATGTTACCATTGATTGTATCATGCTTCTTGACTTAGGGTTATGACAATAACCGAAAAAACCTGTGAACATTAAAGTCACACAAGATTGACCATTGCACAGTTCCTCCCGTCATGTAACTGTTATATTCCTAGCCTTTTACCTTACTTAAAACACCCACCCATCGCCTCTTTTCACACAGTTTTGTACAAGTAAAAAAAACCTATCATCTCCGTGACTTTAACGAAAGCCCCAAAGAGTATGAAAACCCAACAAGTATGGAAACCTAATAATAGCTTAAATCATGCGCTTAACAGTTAGTGCTAGCCTGTCATTTGCCTGATCATAACGGATTGTGGTGCAGTATAAAACCCACGAATTGTTAAGCCGTGTCACACATTGCTCGATACCAGCGTGTGTACACCACCACCATGAAGCGGCAAACCTTAACAAAAATCAAACCAACACGAAGCGTAGCACAAATTATTCTTTATTTAATTCTCACCCCAAACTCAAAGCTTCTCGCTTCAAGTCGGGGCTTCCAAAAAATAAGCCAAATGAAGGCTCTGGATACAGTGGTTAGACATTTAAACGTATATGTATTGAGCAACTGACATTTAACGCTATGGGAACCACATATTACGAGGTACTTTATTTTACATAAAAGGCAAAACACATTTTACCGACAAACGTATAAAGGTAAATGTATTTCCTATTTAACAACTTCGCTGTTATTAATCCAATTTAATGTGAACAAAAAAAAATTCAGTAACTGGGCGCTTTACATCCGGGAAGTGATGTCACAAGTGACGCGCCGAGTGGGGCTGCACAAACCAGCAACAATGCAGCGTTCGATTTTGGGCGGGAATCCACCTCAATTATGTTGACTACACCATGATTACTAATCCACCTCAATTATGTTGACTACACCATGATTACTAAGAACAATAGCAATTTACAGCGCTTTCTCAATCCACTGCTGGGTGAAGCTCTCCCCCCCCCCCACATCTGTCAACCCCTTATCAGTGCCTACTTATAACAGACCAATTCAGACATTATTGGTCACCACGTGCCCTTATCAATCTCGTCGTTTATCCAACAAAGTCCCATCACAAGGGAGAAGCACACACAAATAGACAATGTTTTTTTTCCCGTATTTCAAACGGCTGTACGCCGTGTAGACTTGACTTGAAAACTCAATTTCCCTGTACAAGAATACG